CGGTGCACTGATGATCTACGTTTTTACAACTCTGGAACAACAGGATCGAGCACGCGCAAAGTAGGACAGCTGTTGATGCAAACATGTTGCAAAGGCTATGAAGTTTGAGGGTATATTGGAAATTATTCCTTGTAGATGTGGTGCCCCGTGGAATTACAAAGCAGGCCTGTTTTCATATGAATACATGTATACAGGTATGTCCCTTGTATGTATCTATACGCCCGGACCCGCCGATTTGGGATGATGCTGAGTATGAAGCTCATAGGTTTTTATTCTATGCCATTGAACGGGGAAGTTCAGTATGGGCATCAAAATTTACATACCGAGAGGGCGATGAGGGTATCATCATATTTAATTTTGATATTCTACTTTTAGGAGAATAATTCCCACCCTCATTGAGCTTTACAATCAAGTGCGAAGATCTAAGCATTGTACATTCCCATCATCCATATCGAAAACCGTTAACGCTTGATCCATGCGGGAAGATCAGCGAATCGCAGCGATAGCATTCAAGTGGAAAACAATTTCCCACCCCCCCTAGCTCCCCTTTAACATTTGGGAAGACCACGAAGGTTATCAAATAGGAATTTATCACCACCGCATTTTTTACGAGAAGATCAAAGGGGGCATTGGGAGGTCAAATTTCTGCCAGCCCTGTCAGTGGGGGACCTGGGGAGATCAATCAACGAATCAACGAGGGTTATCAAATTAATTTGAAGTGTTTGTGTATATGTACAGACCAATTCCCACCACCGTTCAGCTTTAGATTCAGCTGGGAAGATCAAGAAAGGTATTTGCCGGTAAACTTACATTCATAAAAGACATTCAATGAATCAATGAGGCAATGAAGGTTTTGGAACTATAAATTCAGCTAAGTACATTGAGAAGATCAACCAGGTTTCTGAGGGAATAAGGAATTTAGATTCCCACCACCGTTGGTTTTACATGCAATTAGATAACAAAAAAGGGCATTAGGAATCTAAATTCACACCCCGGTCGATTTGGAAGATCTACCAAGGTTCTCATTTTAGTGCAAAAAGCTGTACGCCTCCACTACTGTTGAATGTTTAATTTTAGGAAGCACCAACACGTCCAACAAGGGTATTCGAAATTGAATTCTGAAGACTGCAGGAACAACTGCGGCCGTGTGTTTGTTCCCCACCTGCCAGGTGAGGGTTGTTAGATTTTATCACAGCTGTTCCGGCTGCTCCTCCTCCTTGTCCTTCTCCTCCTCCTTCTCCTCCTCCTCGTCCTCCTCCGTCTCCTCCACCGCCTCTGCCTCCACTTCCACGTCCACTTCCGCCTTGCCAACTCTTCGCCAACTTCCGCGCGCAGTGGGCACTTCTGGACCTCGACTGCCGGTTTCCGGTCTGAGTGGGCACGGCTGGACCTCAACCGCAAGGTTCTGAGCGCAGTGGGGGGACCTTCCGAGCTTAGTGGGCACCGCTGGACCTCAACCTGGGACCTTCCGAGCTCAGTGGGCAACCGATGGACCTCAGCGGCCAGATGGAATGCCAGAATATATGCCAGAAAGACTGCCAGAATATATGCCAGATAGACTGCCAGAATATGTGCCAATGTTAGGGTGGGGATCACCCGAAGTAAAGTAATTTTATTTTATTGGTTGGTTTGTTTGGCACGGTATCCGTCAAACGCTCGCCTGTGAGCACACAGGCTGATGAAGACGGGAAAGCTGTGGATGTAGATGCAGTGGAATCAGTGCCATCGAAGTCAAGGACCAGGGACGAAGATGACGACCCCGCAGATGAACCAAACTCGAAAAGGCAATGTTTATAACAATGGCTGACGTTTTGATGTTCTATTAGATGTGTCGTGTGTATCACATTGGGTTCGAAGTAGCGATATCATACATATGTATATATAAATAATATATAAACATATCTCAATATATATATACATATCTCTCTCTATATATATATCAATATTTATGCGTATATATATATATATCAATTTATTTATACACACATATCTCAATGTGTATATATATACATATCTCAGATCATATCTCAATATATGTATATATATATATATCAATATATATATATATACATAGTATGCATATATCTAGTAAAAGTAAGCTTACATATTTAAGTATATATCATATATATAATATTTATTTATGTAAATTTCAATCTCTATATTTAATTCATTTTTTAAATTTATTTACCAGTAAATCAATATATAGATATAAAAACATATTCATATATGTATGTACAAAATACTTCCACATGCAAAGATTTTTCACATTAATGAATGAATATATATATATATATATATATAAATATGTGGCTACGATTAAACTACTTATATAGATATCAAATTATATCTCTATATCAATATATATATATATATATATATATACATGTCAATTTACATATATGTAAATCAGTAAATCAATATATATATATATATATCAGAATATTTCTATTTGGCAATTTATATATATATATATACATATATATCTGTTTATACATATACATTGTGATATCAATATATCTATATACATATATATATATATATACATTTGTATTTACCAATATATATATATATATAATCATCAATATATATTTTGATAATAATCATCAATATCTAAAAATAATTAAATATATATATAATAAATTATCAATATATATAATATATATATGTGTATATATATATGTATATATATATATATATATTCATCAGTATTTATGATCATCAATAGATTTAAATATATATATGTATTGATCAATATATATATATATATATATTCAGTAAATAAATAAACAAATAAATCAATTTAGTTATATATATATATTTATTTATATATATATATATACATTTATCAGCAATAAACAAAAATATATATAATAGTTGGGCAGGTGGGTGCACATTTTCAACGGTTGAGTGCAATGGTTGCGATACTTCAGCCAACTCTCGAAAATCTTCCCGTCCCTCCCAATCCCTCGTGGATCTTTCAGTAGTACATGTTAAGTGGCATCTCCCCACGCAGGCAACCCTTCCCTGGGGTGGATATAATGCAGGAAAAGAGGAAAACTTATGCGCGCACTGCACACAGTTGTATTTAGATATAGATATAGATATAGATATGTATGTATGTATATATATATGAAGAGAGAGAGAGAGAGAAAGAGAGAGAGAGAGAGAGCAAACAGCTTACATGTCACGACAGAAGGCATTGAGGCAGTACAAACGTGCTTTCTTCCCATTTGCATGTGCAAAAGGCCGTATCATATGCAAATGCACCTACCAGCTTGTACAGCCTACAGGCCTAATCGTCTAATGTCTTTCTAAATTTGGACATGCGAATCATGGGAGCATGGGTTTCGGACCAAACCCCAATGTCTGTCAATTGTTTGCTTGCGCGTCAGGCGTTTGGTGGGATTCATGGAAAAGGCTCGTGCAAGCGGAGAGATTGACATGACAGAGATGACAGTGACCATGAAATCTGTCTACACCTTCTCGGAAGCTGGGTTGGTTGAGCCCATTCACATCGTTGACCTTATGAACGTGAAAAAGGAGCTGGAGTTTTTCCTCATGAAGCGTGCAATGTGGCTCGCCATCTGCAATCACGGCATCCACAATAGAACCAATGTCATGATGTCATGTCTTAACTTACCTACTTGCTGAACAACCCTCTCTGAAAGTAACATGGAGACCCAAGATAGGAATGATTTACCCATTCAGATCTTCTTTGGACTACTAGGGCTACCTCGGGGTTTTCGCAATGCTTGTCGCTTCCTTCCTTCTGCGAATGAACTTTTTTTTGTTTGTTCATTCTCTGCTCAGACTCACTCGTACCGTTGCCACCCATTGCCATCCACTCCCCTTTTCCCTGAGGTCCGAGTGGGGATCGGCCTTGGAACATGTGACCTTGAACTATGCTAAGAGCATGGTGATGTGTAAGCGGAGATCTCCATTTGAAGATTCCAGCAAACACCGAATCTATGTCTTTGGGCAGATCAGCATGGAAGCAAGCAACAAGACCATCAAGGCGACTAGTAGCAGCGGTGGGCAGTATGAGAAGTTTGTTTTTGTCGGCTCGCTTTTCTGTTGGAATGGGTTCGGGGTCAGCAAGTCAGGAAAAAGGCTTTTGATTCAGCAAGTGTGCTGTAGGTCTTGATATTTCGTGGGCAGGACACTTGTGGACTGACAGACAAGTTGACAAAACAATGCTGATGCCCCAGGGACCCTGAACTGCATGGTTCTAACATGTCAACAGGTGGCCAGCCTCAAGCATGTCAATGGGCCGTGCGGCATCAGCTTCTACTGTGGGCCCAATGGGTATGACAGGATGACATCCCAGATTCCTTGCGCAGCGTGGCTGATGAAAGTCGTCGGCAGCCATGATGATGATTCCGACGATGAAGCATCCACCAGCACTATGGTGAAATCCACTGAGAAAGCCACTTTGAAGGTGGCGTCCTTGTGGGCGGCTCAGTTTCCTCAGGTTCAAAATACAGAGTGACAATTCTCAGTTGACTCAGATGACTCTAACAACAGACTTGACATGTGAATGACTGGGCTGAGATGGACTGACAGGACTGACTACAGACTTGTGATTCATTTACTTGCGAGCAGCCCTCAAACTTAAAACTGCAGATTACTATGAAATTTTCTCTGAAGCGATGACGGGCGCAGATGTGAATTTGCCTGAAATTAACTCTTGACTGGCCCTTTCTTTTGGTTGAGCTCTGCGCTCTGGATTGTTGGGTTGTTGTCGAGGTTTGACCCGGAGAAAACATTTGAGCTCGAATTAGAACTTCCATACCTTCATGCTCGACCATTGGATGAGTGGCAGAAGAAGAAAGAGATGGCCAAGGACATGGCATTCTAACGGTCTAAATCCAACAGTGGATTTTGAATCATTTGCGTATTGTCGTAGTGTCTTGTTCATATGTATACATATATATATATATGTCGATATTGATGTTAGATCCTTACATTGTTGTTTAAAGTTTAAATTAATTTAGACAACTTACACAAAGTATTCCGTGAAATAATTCCACTAGATATTCGAAATTCATTCGTATTCAAGAGGTAGTTAGACAGTTGGATAGATAGCAGCTCCGATGCATAGGATCCCTGGAAGATATTTCCATGCAGTGCAGGCAAAGAAGCGAAAGACTGGCGCCGAAGACAGCATGGTGCAGATCACTCGGCCACCCTTCCTTTCAAGGAAGAGTCTTCAAGCTGCGGCCAAGGGTGACAACATGGTTTACACGTTCGGTGGCAAGACCGCTGAGGAGATCTTCAAGGACCCTGCAAAGATTAAGCCAACGACCAAGAACAACAGAGAATTGCTGGCTGACAGAGGCAACACGGGCAAAGAAGTTTCACACTTGATGAATTGAGTCGCTTTTCCAGGCATGAAATGACAGACAAACGTCATTCAACGGTTGCCCCCCCTTGTTTTTGTGTGGTTTGATCTCAGATCCCACACCGTGACTGCACTGAGGGTTTTGTGACAGTTGCGACTGAAAGAAGTGTTGGAGTCCCATTTTGGGATTTGGATTCTAGATGGATCTTGACGAAACTCGATCCAAAGCCTAAATTCAGTTCGTTAGCCAAATTATTGGCAACATGTACCGTTCCCTGCCTTGCTGCAAGGAACAAAAGCGGTGAGAGGAGAAAAACATGTGTGTTGTTTCAACTTGTCACGTGATTGCCTTTTTTGCCGTCCAGCGTATTAATAGAGACTTAAGACTAATAAGGGTATTTTAGGCACCTCGTAGTCGCTAGCGTGCAACATTCATTTTCGTTCTTTGCTTGGAATGCGTGCGCTTTCAAGTGTTGGATGTTTCTTCTCATGCCCATGGACATTGACCAGCTCAGCGTGCAAGATCTATTTGTTCGCATGGTCAGATTTCTTGATTGTGGCATCAACACTTCAATGTGTCAGTGCAGAACCTGCAAAAGCTGATTCACCATGGTCCTTGCGGTCCTTCGAGCTTCTGAGGTTGTACATCGTGCCGGCTTTCAATGACGACAGCCGACAACCGGCCAACGGCATGCGGGGTTGATTTGCCGTGGCAATGTATTGTGCAAGGAAAATGCGAAAGAGTGGTGCTCTGTGGCATGTTGCCTGTGGGGCTAAATGGCCATGTGGCCACTGAACACGTTTCTTGTTTGGGTGTTGCGTTAGAGTGTGGGCCAAGAGGCCTGTGAGCCAGGATAATGGTCAGAGTCACTCATTCCCACATTACCCATTTTCATTGTTTGATTCCAGTTCCTCTTGCAGAATTCACGTCCTAGTGGCCAAAAGGACCTTCAACGACACCAACAAATCTGTTGCAAGGTGCATCTTCTATCTTTGCCTGAATTGTTTTGGGACCCTCGGACATTTATCTTTGTCCTGCAGTAGTGAAAGCTGAATCACCGTTGTAATCCTAGTAATCATATACATATGGTCTATGGTCAAGAATGCTATAGTATCAAGTAGTGATCTGTCAACTGTCACCCGCCACCCTTTGGTAAGTAGCCGCTGCAATAGTCCAGATTGTGTTGCTCATTGTTCATTTGTACTACGCTATGTCGCTATGTCTGTTTACCTGGATTTCCTGAACGATTTGAACCATTGTCTCAACAAGATCATTATATAATTAATTATCTTCATTGAATCTTTACCTGTTTTTTCAACCCTTCAATGTTGGCCATGGAGTTCCTATGTTAAACGGGGTCGGTCTTTGAAATGGGCAAGTATCTGCCAAAACATAGGGCTGGACAAATTCATGCAGCTAAACATATGCCAAAACATTAGCATTGAGGAATTCATGCAAGCAAAAGGAGCTAGGCGCCAAAATTCTGGCACCTAGACTTTAGGCACCCCATGAACCAAGCCTACAGGGGATATGGATATAAGCACAGGCTGATCCTCCAAGTATCCAGTGTGGCTGCTGTTGCGCCAACATCTTCCAAGACAAAATCTCTCCTGGCACGCTGCCGATGGAGCCTAGAGGATTGTCCCGGCCAGCAGCTACGTTCGGCTGTCGTGGTCCGTTGGGTTGTCGCTGCTCTCGACATGTACTACCGCCAGGTATAAAGCCCCCAGGCAAGTAGTGGCGGCAAGGCGAGAGAGCAGCGGTTTGAGCATCTTGGACGAGCTTCTTCCATTGGAAATTAAGCTCATGCAAACATAGGAATCTGTAATATGGAAAATACGCAGTTGCAACTCATTCAAATTCTTTATACGCCACTCAACACTGTGAACAATTGATATCAGCTCCAAACTGTTTATATGGTATTGCCGGTACCGGTGACAGGCAAACATCTTTGACCAATTCCACCAGGTTGCACAACAGCTTTGACGTGGGAAGGCTTTTGGGTTAATAATGGAACCAGTGGTAATCCGAACATCCGATCTCATCTAAGAAGGACCCCATGCAGTCTGCGCACATCTAAATTCTTCGTTGTGATCCCGTAGCTGAGCCAGCGTTGCAAGGGCGCAGCCACATGAACAGGAGCACAAAAACCCGGAGCAAGCCCCATCCTGTTCCATAGTATGTCATAGCTTGAAATATGTACCCATTTGCTACAGACTGTCGAACCAAGCCATCTCTGAATTCATCATGGCCTATAGGGGCAACTTTCCCCACTTCTTTGGAGCCTCCTCTTGATTCGCCTTCCAAGGGTTTGAGCTGCGCTTGTTGGTGTTCCAGCTCCCCTCCTTCACCTCCTCGGCCTTTTCCGCGGCCTTTTCTCTCCTTTCTTTCCTTTTTCGCCCCCCGTTGGAGCCCTTGCCCTTTCCAGAGCCGCCACCTCCCCATCTCAACGGCGTGTAGCCCTGACTGCGCTGAACCAAACTCTTGTATCTCTTGTGTTTTTGAGCCTGAAGCATCGTAGCCACTGAAGCCGACTGCACAGGCTCCTGGTACTAGTACATCTCCAACTTGCTCGCAGTACCCCAGCCGCCTTCAGACAGCGCGGTGTGAACTGCCATGTATCGGCTCGCCAGCGCGTCTCCCGCCTCGCGAAGCTTTCCAGCCCGCATAGTTTGACCCAATCGAGTATAGCTCCCGCAGAAGCGCGTTTCCCGCGGGGTCCGCGGGGTAATAGGGACGTATAAGCGCCTCGATCTAAATGTTCTTGAGCGTGGCGCACCAAGAGCTCCATGATCACCTTTTCGACGGTGGCTCGCAACTCATCTCTCTGGGTCCTCCTCGCTCTCGTCTCTCCGCCGTCGCTGACTCCTTGGGCTGTCGTCGCTTGAGTATCCGCTCGAACCTGCGCCTCCGGAACCATCTGGCTCTGGCTTGATAAGGGCGTTTGCCTTCCTGCCGCCCTTCTTGTCTTTCTTCTTTTTCTTCTTCTTCTTCTTCCCTCGCTTGAGATCCACAAGCTTTTGGATTCCCCCATTTCTGTCCTTGTCCTTGCGGTCCTTCCGGCGCTTCTCTTCCTTCGGGTTCAGGGAGGTCCCAGCAACCATTCAAGAGCTCGCCGGTGCAGAGGGCAAATCGGCGCCTGCCAGCCCACCACTCAAAGCCGGTGGGCCTCAATGATCGCCCCCCTTCTCCATGTAGTGAGATCCTCTCTCGGATGCCTCGCAACTTCTTGCGGGGTCCTGCGCGGTCGGGACCAGCGGAGAGAACTTCTATTGGCTCGGTTGTTGCATGCGGTGTCTTCTACATTGCGTCGCCTTGAGCCCACCTTCAGTCGAGGGGTGCCCGGACCTTTTCCAACGCCTGGCTTGCGTGACGCCCTCGTAGTAGTACCTTCTCCCCTGCCGGGGTTAAAATGGGTCGCCTGAAAGCTTGACGCCCGCCAGGTCCACACCTTTGTGACGTGGATTCAAATCTCCTCGTGAGCATACATGCAGAAGAGATGCACATACCCTGTGGAAAGAAACCTTGACTGCAGAGGAAAAGGCCGAAAGTTCTTCGGCACCCAGCACGCTGCCCCCAACAAGCACCCCCCCCCGTCTTCTGCCGCATCGTGCTCGCTGATAAGCAGGGGCCACCCACTCTTCGGTTCCAAAACCCAGGGAAACTGTCCTTCGGCAGAGAACTCCAAGACGGTTCCTACAGGAAGAGAAAGAGTGGCCCACTTGGAGGCTCGGGGACGGTCATAAGCACATAGGGGACATACTAGGTAATTACATACGGCACTTACTATTTGGATACGGCGCTTACACTATGTCACTTAGTGGACTTACTGGGACAGCACTTAGCGCAATTACGAAAGTGGCTTACAGCACTGCGAGCACTTTTGTGTTTCCGCAAAAAGCGGTTTCCACCAAAGCCACATTCAGAATTTTGTGTTTCCACCAAATGTGAAACTGGATTTTGTGTTTCTACAAATGTTTGTAAGTGCACTTAGCCTAGATAATCTAGATACGTAAGTAGCGTAAGTCCTTTACAGGACTTAGGCCACTTAGGGCTTAAGCTGCTTATCTCACTTAGCCCACATACGCTAAGTGGTTAGCCAAGTGCCATAAGTTGCGTAATCATTTATGGAACATCATATATAGTTAGCCAAAAACTGTAACTACTTACGTAAGTGCTTTAGAGACAGCAACCCGCTTAGCACCACTTATAAGGTAACTTAGCACCACTTATAAGGAATTTTATAAGGTAGGTTACAGCACCTAGTAAGTAGGTTATATAAGTGCTCTAACCTTGCTATATACTTATAACCGCCCCCGGCCCTCCAAGCAATGCGCATCCCCACACTGAATTTCTTGGCCTTCCGGGGCTCCCAAATCGAGGAAGGCAGTGTCTACTTCTTTCTTTCGCTTTGGCGCCATTGTTCCGACTGATAGTCAGGTGGTACCTGATCCCAGAAGGTTCCAGGCTCCAGGATGCTTGTGATGAAATCTCCGGTACGGGTCTTGATGAGCCCGATATGTCCTCTGATGCCTTGTTCCTCCACGATGTCCCTTGCGTTTCTTCTTATTCTTCTTCTTCTTCTTCTGCTTCTTCTTCTTCTTCTTCTTCTTGTCTTCCCTTGCTTCTGGACGATCCCTTCGTGTGACCTGCTTCTGTCGCGTCGTCTATGAGAGTATAGTGCTCACCAGACCCACGAGGCCTCTACTCGTCCTTGTCCCTGGCTCTACGCTCCCGACTCTGCTCTTGCTCTTGCCTATCCCTTGACTGCTCGCAAGTCCGGCCCCTCTTCTGAATGTAGTCGGACTCTTCGTCCTCCCTCTCTCTCTTCACTGAGCTCTCTGGCTCCCGGGGTTTGCTGGTAGCTTCAGCTGCTGGAGGCTTCGGGTCACCTTGGTGCTCCTTGTCAGGTGCAGAATGGGCAGCACGACTCTCCTCAGCTCCCACTCTGGGAGGGGTTAGTGCCCGGGCGCGCCCAGCACCAGCCAGCCCAAGGCGTCGAATCGCCCGCACCTGACGAACTGA